GGGTTCTTCACCAGGTTCTTCTTCAGATTCTTCATCGGGTTCTTCATCAGATTCCTCCTCTTCATCTTCATCAGATTCCTCCTCATTATTAGATTCATCGTCATCATTGTAAATCAAATGATCCTCACTCCCCGACAAGCAATTGGAGATACCACATTTTTTGAATGCCCGGATAATAATGTCTTCAGAAATATCATCCCAAGCATTCAAAACCCAATGACATATTGTGTTTAGATCGGCACGCTTCAAGTTTCCATTCTTAGTCATACCATTGCCACTATTTGTCATCCATCTATGCCAATACTTACGAAGCTTATCTTTGAAAGGTTTGTTGATACAAACGTCAAGAGGCTGACACATACTAGTAAGACCCCCGGGAATAACAGCCAAATCTGTATTTCCTGAACGTAATGCTGCCTTTATCTGATCCGTAATATGAGCTGAAAAAGAATCAAAGACTAGCAATGCTTTCGAATTATGTGGTCCTGGTTGAGAATTATTCCAATACTTTATCCATTGATTCATTCCCTGTTCGTCCATCCATCCCTTCTCTTGGAACCAAACTATTACACCGGCTGGAGGTCGTAGTGTGTTAGTTGGCCAAATTTTTCCCTTAAAAATAATGACTGGTGGTAGCTTTCTACCGTTAGCAAGGCATGTCAAGACTACCGTAAATCGGTTCTTCTCATTCCTAGTTGTTCTAACATGAACGGTCTTTGCACCTTTGGTGTTCACGGTCATGGCACCTACCATATCAAAATAAACCGGTGTCTTGTCTATGTTTGCAATCATTTCAAGAGGGTAATCGTTTTTTTGACGAAGGCGGATAACAAACCGCTGAAAGTTAAGTAGTTGATTTTCAAGATCCTCTGGTAATTTTTGTGCGATTTTGGTCTTACATCTGAGAGAAAGATCATGCCGTTTTAAAAAATGACTAACCCAGTGTGTTGAGAGCTTAAACTTTTCAATTGCAAGCCTTTTAGATTTATCTTTTGTTTGTTTAGTACTTTTATCCAAGATTTCGGCCATTTTAAATTTTATATTAGGGTAAGTAACTGCGAGACCATTCTGGCGAACTTCCATTATCCACTCAAAAAGTTGAGACTCTTCTTCAGGAAAAAGTGAGCAACGCCCAGAGCCAATGCTTCGCACGTTTTTTGAGAAAAAGAAGGTGGGTTTTGAGAAAACTTCTTAACCCAACGACCAAGCATGGTTAAATCCAGGGAGTAGTACTGTGCTGCATGTGAATTTGAAGTACGACGAGCCAATTCTACGGCCTTATTCTTTTCCTCAACCGTGTAAGAATTTCTTTGCCTTTTCATTTTTTTTTTTCAAAAAAAAAAAAAAAAAAGATTGAAGGTTCTTTTAAAACTGGTGATGAAAATGAATCCGGTAATAAGATGGACAATCATAAGTGGCCAGAGTGCTGGGTCGTTGTTTGAAAG